AAATTTTTGGGTCAAACATTCCCATCTATAACTCTCTGAAGCCCCAGATATTCCCAGAGCTGATTAATAGTATATTACCCAGAGAGAAAACCCAGATGAAGATGGCGTTCAAAAAACATTTGTGGAGACGAGGCGAGTGTGTCGTGGTTATGAGGGTGTCTCACCTTTCATTGAGCTGGTCTTCAGTGCCAGGCAGCGGGTGGATGACACAGTGGAGGGAGGTCATCTTGCTGTGGTATAATATCCAGGGAAAGTTTGAACGAGAAGAGAGCAGCGGCTACAAACATGTGTGAGGAAGGCGATGTGTGTTACCTCGCCGCCGCCATGTTGTCTCCCACACTTACTTCCTCACCAATAATTCTCTCTTCCTCCTCCTCTTCCTATTTTCTCTATTCTCTCCCTACACACAGCTTTGTTTCTTGCAATTTCCCTGTTGTCTGTTATATTTCCAGAGGCTGGGAAGTTTGTGTAAGCGGGGAGCATGCATAGGTCTTAGGGGAATATATATAGATGTCGCTGTTCTCATCTTATAAACCTGTTCAAATACAAGATTTCCTCTAAATAATAGTAAGTAAGTTTATTTATTCATCATAGATGAGTTTAAAATACTATAATTTAACTTCAACTGACTCAATGCACTCATTAACACTACCAATAATCTTCCAGTATGTTGACGCTTCTATCAAATATTTTAAATTTGATTTCATTTTATATAATTACAAGAATACATCACGTACTTTAATTTATAAAATGTGTTAGCCAAGGGGTATAGGTCTATAAAATTAGGTATATGATGTAAAACATCCCATTGTGAAATGTTTGAATTATAATTAATTTTCTGAATTTTGGGCAGATAAGGTAAAAAAAAAATCCCAGTTGGCTAAAGGAAAGTGTCTCAGAAACTTGATATAAATTATTATTATTATTATTATTATCAAGGGGAAGCGCTAAACCCGTAGGATTATACAGCGTCTGTGTGGGAAGGATGTGGAAGGTGTTCAGCCTTAATTCGGGGAACTGGAGCACAGATCCAATTCCCTAGATCAAGAGCCCCTCACCAACATCAAGGAACCTTCCCTGAGAGGAACTTGATATAAAATTCAGGCGATATGACATTCGCTCTCTTTTTAGTTTTCCATATTCCTTAATGCTGTCGAAGGGTATTTCGGACCCTCCTTCCCCTATTTTCTTTTTTAATAAAACTGGCAATTTGGTACCATGGTTATTATTGAGTTCAGGTCCTGGTCGAGTTGATCAATAATTTATTCCTTAAAATGTCCAATATTAGGTGGAATATACCATGAGCATGGGTTTTATTTTGATGGAATGGTAAGAAATGTAATTTAGCCTAAAGAAACACAACCTAAATTAACCTCACACGACTTCACCTTACTCCACCAGCGGTACATTCGGGAAAGTTGAATCTTTGTTTACACTTCTGTGGTTAGTGTCGTTGGGAATGTTAAGGGCCACCATTGATTGGCTCTGACGTGTCGCTCGTGCCAAAATAAATGTATTATATTTTGTGCAAATTGAAAAAAAAAATATTTGGGATAATGTTTTGTCTTGAGAAAAAATATATTTAAAAGAGGCCCTTGTGTAACTATTTCAACGAACCGAACCTAACCTAACCCCGCCTTTTCCACCCAATGGAAATAAGTCACTCTGTCTGACTTTTTTGGGTTATCCTAGGTTCTCTACATATATGCTGCTATGTATGATAATTCTATGTAACTGTATTTGTGTATACCTGAATAAATTTACTTACTTACTTACCCAATCCAACTTAACGTAACGTTGGCTACCCTAACCTAACCTAGCCCAGTATACACTCAGGATACATTACTTAGGTGTTGTCAATATCGAAACTGTTTACATCATTGGCCGGAGAATCACGGATGCTGATCCAAGCCTATAATTTGATAGATACATTCCACCTCCTCTACTGCAAATTGTTGGGACCCATAGAGTTGGACTAGAAAGAAGTTTTCCAGAAAAAAATATTTGACTTTCTCCTTAAAGTTAGTTTAATATATTTATTATGCACCCCATGCCCATCTGTAGGAGGAAGTCAAAAGATTACAGACGTACATAATGGGTCCAGGAACTGGACCTCAAAGTTTTGATAGCTAAACAAGCTACAGTGGTAATGAACTATATACAAGTTTATATCAGCCTGCATCATGTCCTTTGTGGATGACACCCGAATATGCATGACAGTGTCATCCATCGAAGACACAGCAAATCACCAAGAGGACATCAACCAAATCTTTAAATGGATGGAAAGCTCATGATGATTCTCTTCTGATCACTTGTTCTCTCTAGGCTGAAGTATTGCTGTACACTAACGGCCCCTTTCAAGGTAGGCGAAATTGCAGACCTGGAGAATATACAGGGAACTTCCACAGCAAGCATGAGTACGATAAAGCACCTAAAGTATTGGGAACGTTCGAAATCTCTTGATTTGTACTCCCTGGAACGCAAGCGAGAAAGATACATGATAATATACACTTGGAAAATTCTAGAGGGACAAGTCCCAAATCTACACACGAAAATCAGTCCCTACGAAAGCATAAGACTCGGCAGGAGATGCACCATCCCCACAGTGAAAAACAGGGGCACCACGAGTATGCTATGACAACACAAAAAGCGTCAGGGGCCCAAGACTGTTCAACTACCTCCCAGCATACATAAAGGGGATTACCAATAGACTCCTGGCTGTCTTCAAGGAGATGGAGAGGCACCTAAAGTTAGTACCTGACCGGCTAGGCTGTGATTTGTATGTCAGTGTACGTGCGACCAGCAGCAACAGCCTGGATGATCAGGCCATGATCCACCACGAGGCCTAGTTACAGACCCGGCCACGGAGGCGTTGACCCCCGAAACCTCCTCCAGGTATACTACAGGTAAGAGGGACCTGGACAAGCACCTAAAGTCAGTTCCCGATCTAGAGGGCTGTGGTTCGTAAGTCGGTTTACATGTTTATAACAAGAGGGAGCTGGACAGACATCTAAAGCTAGTACCTGACCAGCCGGGTTGTGGTTCGTACATCGGTTTACTTGCGGCCGGCAGTAACAACATGGTTGATCGGTCCCTGATCCACCAGAAGTCTAACAAGAAAGACGTTAGATGGTCAACACACCTCCAGAGAATCTCCTAAGTCGTTCTGGACCTCAGGCTGTGGCCTGAGTGCCAAGAATGGTTTAACTGGAGGTGAAAGACTCACCATGCCCTTGTCATAGGGCTGCAAATAGTGTTCCATGCGACACAAAGACGGTTTACGGCGCCCTTACCATAGGGCTGTCCCCGCCATAGGGCTGTACACGGTACACCACATGACATGAACGCTCACTGTAGGAATGATCAAGATAAGATAAGATAAGATAAGATTTCGTTCGGATTTTTAACCCCGGAGGGTTAGCCACCCAGGATAACCCAAGAAAGTCAGTGCGTCATCGAGGACTGTCTAACTTATTTCCATTGGGGTCCTTAATCTTGTCCCCCAGGATGCGACCCACACCAGTCGACTAACACCCAGGTACCTATTTGCTGCTAGGTGAACAGGACAACAGGTGTAAGGAAACGTGTCGAAATGTTTCCACCCGCCGGGAATCGAACCCGGGCCCTCCGTGTGTGAAGCGGAAGCTTTAGCCACCAGGCCACCGGGCCACGCCACCAGGCCACCGGGCCACTGCTTGACTCACTCTTCCTACCACGAGCTCTCGAGTCCAGAGAGTTACACTGTAGAGCAAGGGCATGTTAAGATGAAGTGAGCACGTCAGTGCAGCTGTGACCACGGACACTTGTTACAACCCTGCTTGTAGTTTAACATGCTGCACCACTGACGGGTCATCTTATGATTAATACCCGTGCCAGGCCGTGTACTGGAAACATTAAACAACAGCCTGATCAACCGTGAAGTCTGGTCATGGACCAAACAGCAGGGGGCATTGACCCCCGGAAGACCCTCCGGGTATAATCCCCTACTACCCCAGCTTTTCGTTATTTCACATAAGAATGAAGGAACACTGCAGCAGGCGTAGCTACTAGCCTTACAAGGCAGGTCTTTATCAAAACCAATCATTCCCACCCACGCATCTGTCCTACTCTTTCCCCAAGGCACCCAAAAATTTGCTTCAGTATCTCAGGTACTAATCAGACCCAACCCTTTTAACGCATATGGGAGACTCCTTATACAGTATATTAATTTTGCCATTCTTCTCTGAATGTTCTCCGATGAATTAATATCCATTCTGTAGTATGGTGACCAAAACTGAGCTGCATAATATCAGTGAGGCCTTACTAGTGATGTATGAAGTGTAAAATAACTTTTGGACTCCTGTTATTTGCACTTCTTGATTTAAATCCTAGTAATCTATTAGCCTTATTGCGCACACTTAGGCACTGTTGTCTTGACTTTAGATCTGTGCTACCATGACTCCCTAGTCTTTTTAACATACTGTATGATTAAGTTCTGCATCACCTGGTTTATAACTGTGAGGGTTATTTTAGTTCCCAAGGAAAGGACTTTACAATTATCCACATTGACCTTCAGAGTTTACCTGGAGAGAGTTCCGGGGGTCAACGCCCCCGCGGCCCGGTCTGTGACCAGGCCTCCTGGTGGATCAGAGCCTGATCAACCAGGCTGTTGCTGCTGGCTGCACGCAAACCAACGTACGAGCCACAGCCCGGCTGGTCAGGAACCGACTTTAGGTGCTTGTCCAGTGCCAGCTTGAAGACTGCCAGGGGTCTGTTGGTAATCCCCCTTATGTGTGCTGGGAGGCAGTTGAACAGTCTCGGGCCCCTGACACTTATTGTATGGTCTCTTAACGTGCTAGTGACACCCCTGCTTTTCATTGGGGGGATGTTGCATCGTCTGCCAAGTCTTTTGCTTTCGTAGTGAGTGATTTTCGTGTGCAAGTTCGGTACTAGTCCCTCTAAGATTTTCCAGGTGTATATAATCATGTATCTCTCCCGCCTGTGTTCCAGGGAATACAGGTTTAGGAACCTCAAGCGCTCCCAGTAATTGAGGTGTTTTATCTCCATTATGCGCGCCGTGAAGGTTCTCTGTACATTTTCTAGGTCAGCAATTTCACCTGCCTTGAAAGGTGCTGTTAGTGTGCAGCAATATTCCAGCAGTTGCCACTTTTCAGACCATAACATTGATTTGTCTAAATCCTTCTGAAATTCATTGTTGTTCTCTTCAGAATCTACTATTCGGCCTATTTTGTTTTTGTTTTTTGTTGTCATCAGCGAATTTACTCATGTCACTCTTTATTCCTTCATCAAGGTCATTAATGTAAATTATGAACAACAATGGACCCAAAACTGATACTTGTGGAACACCACTAGTGACCGGTCCCCATTCAGACTTGACCCCCATTAATGCAAACTCGTTGCCTGCTATTGGTCAGCCATACTTTGATCCATGTTACAACTTTTCCTCCTATACTATGAGCTGCGACGTTTCTTAACAGCATTTCGTTAAGGTGTCCCATAGCTCGATCACTACTGTACTCAGCTCACACACTGTGAGTTGAGTACAATCTTCAACTTGTCGGTTTTTAAACCATTTATCACACACACTGGTCCGGGGGTCGATCCACGGCACCGCTGAACCATTTATCTACATTAGGACGTGTTTCCTTAAGACACCTGCTGTCCAATGTTCACCCAACAGTAAAATAGGTACCTGGGTGTTAGTTGAGCGGTGTGGGTCGCATCCTGGGGCAAAACTGACCTAATTTTCCAGAAATGCTCTGCATAACAATTTTTTTTATATCATAGTATATCATTCATGTCAACTAGACCTGTATATATTGTACATGTAGAAAAAAATATATTATTATTATTATTTAAAAGTACATGTACAAAGCATACAGACCATACCTGGAGTTTACCTGGAGAGAGTTCCGGGGGTCAACGCCCCCGCGGCCCGGTCTGTGACCAGGCCTCCTGGTGGATCAGAGCCTGATCAACCAGGCTGTTGCTGCTGGCTGCACTCAAACCAACGTACGAGCCACAGCCCAGCTGGTCAGGAACCGACTTTAGGTGCTTGTCCAGTGCCAGCTTGAAGACTGCCAGGGGTCTGTTGGTAATCCCCTTTATGTATGCTGGGAGGCAGTTGAACAGTCTCGGGCCCCTGACACTTATTGTATGGTATCTTAACGTGCTAGTGACACCCCTGCTTTTCATTGGGGGGATGTTGCATCGTCTGCCAAGTCTTTTGCTTTCGTAGTGAGTGATTTTCGTGTGCAAGTTCGGTACTAGTCCCTCTAGGATTTTCCAGGTGTATATAATCATGTATCTCTCCCTCCTGCGTTCCAGGGAATACAGTTTTAGGAACCTCAAGCGCTCCCAGTAATTGAGGTGTTTTATCTCCGTTATGCGCGCCGTGAAGGTTCTCTGTACATTTTCTAGGTCAGCAATTTCACCTGCCTTGAAAGGTGCTGTTAGAGTGCAGCAATATTCCAGCCTAGATAGAACAAGTGACCTGAAGAGTGTCATCATGGGCTTGGCCTCCCTAGTTTTGAAGGTTCTCATTATCCATCCTGTCATTTTTCTAGCAGATGCGATTGATACAATGTTATGGTCCTTGAAGGTGAGATCCTCCGACATGATCACTCCCAGGTCTTTGACGTTGGTGTTTCGCTCTATTTTGTGGCCAGAATTTGTTTTGTACTCTGATGAAGATTTAATTTCCTCGTGTTTACCATATCTGAGTAATTGAAATTTCTCATCGTTGAACTTCATATTGTTTTCTGCAGCCCACTGAAAGATTTGGTTGATGTCTGCCTGAAGCCTTGCAGTGTCTGCAATGGAAGACACTGTCATGCAGATTCGGGTGTCATAGTTGACATCAGTGACATACTGTTATATAGAAAGCTTGTTATGCAGAGCATTTCGGGCAAATTAGGTTAATTTTGTCCCCAGGATGCGACCCACATCTAATCGACTAACACCCAAGTACCTATTTTACTGCTAGGTGAGGAGGGACAGCAGGTGTCTTAAGGAAACATGTCCTTATGTTCCACCCGTACCGGGGATCGAACCACAGACCTCACTGTGTGAACTGAGTGCTCTAGCAGTCAATCTACGGGACACCTTAAAATGTCACATTAGTTGCACATATGTCCTTGCACCTACCAACTTAACTATGTATAATAACTACTGATGTGTACCTGTGCCTAAATAATCTTAATACATAAGTGATGCTCTAAGTCCATGATTCCAGGCTATGTAATGTGAGTTTAAACGTCAATATACCTCGCAACATGAACATTTATTATATATTATAAATAAACAGCCAAAATACATATACAACTTACTTCTACCTATGATATAAAGATAACTTTAGATAGCAAGAATGAACAGGAACTCCAGAATGATCTAGTACATACATCGGGTCATGTCAAAACGCTATTTTTCTTTATCATTCGTGTTAATACTCAATACAGAAATATGAAAATAAGGTTATGGTCATTATATATTTGATATATTTTGTGTATGTTAGTACAGAAGAGGTGTAATAAATTGTAATGATCTAGTTCCGAGGCAGAGGAGCAGCCACAACACCACCATGGTGGACTACAGCAAGTGGAAGGACATCGAGGTCTGTTATTTTCCCAGATTTTCTCTGCCTTTGGGGATTCTTTTGGCAATTTTGACTCGATTTTCTGATAGCTTTGTGGCGTGTAGCTCTGTGCTAATTGTGACCTCCAGGTTACCAAAGGGATTTATATAGGAATTTGGTTATTGTATTGTCGAGTTGTACATCAAAATACTTGTGAAGTCATTAATGTAATCCCGACCTTTCTTTTTATAGTTCGTGTAATTTATTTGAAGATAGAATATACATTTTAAACTATTTTTTTTAAATGCACATTTTAATTTCCTTAATGAGTGATATAACCCATGTGACACACTGATTAACAGATTGATTAACATTGGCATAGTTTTGTTAAATACATCTAAATAATTAACATTAATACATCCTGTGTATAAATGTTATACTTATATAATTATGGCAGTGAAGATCTCCTGCAAGAGTCAGTAGATTATATAGTGTATACCTCAAGTTATATTTTACACAATTACTATATAAAACTATTGTAAAAGTTTCAAATTATGTATTAGGCCTGAGAAAAATCTTATTAAGTAACCCAAATGAACATGGGTAAAACTCCCATAAATTGAAAATGTTGGGTTTATTAACATAAATTAATTGCTTATACATTAGCTGAAGAAATTCATTCTAGTAATTGCCATAAATACTAACCTCACCCCGCTTCCCTAAGCAATTTAATCAGAGCATAATGAACAAATTGATATCGATAACAAAATTAATGCCATGGAATTAGAACAGAAAGAAAATAATTAACGGAAAACATTCATCAACTGGCTACTGAAACAGGTGTTCAGTACAGTGTTAGAGAATATATCTATACTATAAATACTTTTTAATATACATATACTAATTAGCTGGTCTTGAGTTATGGAGGATGACAGGAGGGAAGGAGGTGCTGTCTTAAGATTTCTTAATGAAAACTTTTATTACATTATATACTAGGATGGAAGTCTTGAATACTTCTCTTGATCACTCGAAAATCCCTGAACCAAATCTAATATTGTAATGTTAATAATCAAACCTGTAATTCTTCTCAGTTAAACTTGTTAAGGCCATATAGCATAAATTAATAGGATATTCAGTCCTCTTGTATTCATTGTAAACTCCTAAATTATACTTGCACTAACCCCAGTGACTGTATGCATAAAATTACTCGTGTTGTTATTGCCTTATTAATCTTAAGTTAGTCTTAAGTTTGCCTGAAATATTCTGCATGTACACCCAAATGTTATTCACATTTGTATGAACATTGTATCATGCTTAAATGAAATATTACTATTATAAATATGTTACGATTTTTAGCAGTTAATTTCGCCATTACAAACAATACATGGATGCAGAGGGTATATATAGGCTTAGTGAGGTGTAAGGCACAATATAATCACTGATGTAGTACATGTATTACATGCATTACTACTTCCACTAGTATTACAACTGCTACTACTACTACAATGATTATATTGTGCCTTACACCTCACTCTAAGCCTATATATACCCTATGCATCGGTGTATTGTTTGTAACAGCTTGACAAAGCTCCTGGAGAGCGAAACGTTGCCACAGTAAAAGTGTCACATTAGTTGCATTTGTGTCCATTTACGTAACATATTGTTGGTAATTCTACCAACATTAATACAAAGTTTATTTCATTTTGTTTGTATACTTTAAGAATTTAGTGTTCAGGTTTGTGTTTCCTTCTCAGATTTCAGATGATGAGGATGATACTCATCCAAACATCGACACACCTTCTCTCTTTCGATGGCGACACCAAGCCAGACTGGAGCGTATGGCAGAAAAAGAGAAAGAACTTGAAAAAATTAAAAAAGAAAGAGAGATGTAAGTAATGTTACCAGTGAAAGGTTACTGTAGCTTCGTATCTAGTGGGTATTTGGTTCATTACTTTGAGGAAGGTGTAGCGCAAGGTACATGCGAGCACTTGGCACATTGGTAAGGTATGGTATTTGTTAGTCTTCATAATGCTGTGCATGTATATACGTGTATATACATGTATGAAAATGCTATACTCTGTATAAATTGAGTAACACTGGAATACATGTAATTGGGGTCAAGGTCCTAGACTGTCTTGACTCACTCTAAGTGTAAGAAACTTTTATAGTACTGTAGTAACCGCTAAAATAGGAAATGGGAAGATGCAATACACACGTGACTATTAAATGCATCTCTCATCTTGCCAGCCTCCTCGAGCAAAACAGCAGATGTCACTACAGATGGCACCAAATTTGAGATTAAACATGTATTCGAAATGCAGTATTTATTGCATTAAATTCCCTTCCTACACTGTTGAATACTATTGGAAGATGGCTTATAATTCATGTTTGAAAAGGAAAATAAAAATAATGTATAAAAATAGTGTTTAATCCTAGGAGGCAGGAATGGTAAACTCTCACAGCTCTACTTCTGCAAGACTTGAAGGAAATAGGCATTGTTCCGTACTCTTAATGCATTTATTACAGGTATAACTCTAATTTTCCAGCACCCTTTATGCCTAAGCTTTGTTGGTATATCACTGTTGCCAAACCACAAAGGTAATATAATAATAATTCAACAATACATCTCTGACCCACCATGGTCTGCTGGAAACTTAAATTAGGCATTTGTATAAATGAAACTGGTTTATTAATTGCTGTACTTACAAAGAATGTTGCAGTACTACCACTCACCAAGTAGCAAATTTTAGAATATTGCTGGAGCTGCAGAGCTGATCACTAGTAACAGCTAGGGTTATTTGTTAGCAAAATATGCTAAGAATCACACAGAATCAAGGGATCACTACCAACAACTGCAATTTCAACAATAATGTATAAGTGACCATGCAGTCCATACAATGCCATCTTGTAATTTTGTCCAGACTAAGTTTCTGGATAATCTCTTGTCAGTAAATCAGTATTGTACTTGTATCACTAAGTTACATATTTTATTAATAATAAAATTTTTGCTACTCCTCTTTTTGCAGTGTATAATTAAAACTTATCACTCCATAACCTATGTCTAGTTTTAAATGGTCTGTAAGCATTAGGATTAGTCTGCCCAAAATGTTCATGCAGGCTAGTGCCTTTTTTCTTTGTGTTTAAGAGTATTTTTCTGAATGTAAATTACACATTGCATACTAAACATAAAATTAAAATTTTAAAATTTGAGGCCCCAGAGTAAACACTTTGTGGGAGTAATGCCCCTTACTACTAAAATTTTGGTCAAATTTCATATTGATGTTGTAAATGAACACAAAAATAGGTTTTTAGATAGGCAATCACAAGACTGTTTTTTTTTTTTTTTTTTTTTTTTTTTTTACAGGTATGAAAATCAAGTAAAGAGTCTGAAGATAAAACTACAGTCTGCAGGGCCAGAGTCAAGCACAGATATGAGTAGCATAAAACAGGCCCTCTCTGAGCTGGAGAAAAAAGGGGATGAGTTGGTCAGTAAACAAAAGGAAATAGAGAAGAAAGAGAAGGTATGAAACTATTACATTCTTTATTGACTGAAAGCTTATTTAGGATTAGGTGGCTGGGAATATGGTGATTGGCAAGTACCATAGCTCACAAACAAGGAAACTAAGTTAAACTTGATTTTTCTCTCTCTTTTTTTTTTTTTTTTTTTTTTTTTTTTTTTTTTTAAAGGGTAAAATGTCTAATAAAATTCCTCTCTCTGCTATGTATGTTTCACATTCCTAATGGCTCAGAACATTTAATATTAGTTCATAATATGTACTATTAATCATTTTGATGTTTGTCATGTAGAACTGTCATTGAGGCCAGGGTCACTGATGTAGTTCTGTCATGAGCTCACCTCATTCCGATAAGCTGTGAGTGGTAAGTTTTTGCATAGATAAGAGTCCCATGTTTTCTGGTGAAGTCTCTCATGGCAAAGCGTATCCATAAATGTCCTGAACTGTACAAACCTGTCGTTTTTAGAAGAGTTTGTTGTTGGGACCTGAATAGCTGTTGGAGTGTGAGCAGGGTAATATTTAGTGAAAGGATTCAGGGAAACCGGTTATTTTTATATAGTCAGACTTTGGTACTGGAAATGGGAAGTACAATGCCTGCACTTTAAAGGACAGGTTTGGGATATTGGCAGTTTGGAGGGGTATGTTATATATCTTCATATATATTTCTAAACTGTTGTATCTGGGCACCTCTGCAAAGACAGTGATTATGTTTGAGTGAGGCAAAAGTGTTGAATGATAAAAGTATTTTATTTTCTGGGATTTTCTTTCATTTTGGGTCACCCTGCCTCAGTGGGAGGCAGCCAATTTGTTGGAAAAAAAAAAAAAAAAAATCCTGCCCCATGTGGAGCATGATGGGAAAAACAAAACTGTGACTGTGTGGTTTAAAAGAGATTTTGTGGTGCTTTCCTGTATGATTTTTATGGTTTTATTGTCTGTTTCTTTGTATTAATAGAATGAGACATAAAACTGAATCAGATGAATTTGATTGGTTTCAGGACTGGAAGTAGCTTGAAACTGAGCTCCAAGTAGCAGGAATATTTGATTATTGCTGACATTCCAGGTAATTCCAGAGGATAGGTAAAGCCCCCCGTACAACCCCCAGTCTGTTTTATGGGTTTTTATCAGGTATGATTTAGTTATTGGGACTGTGAACCATGACCAACCTTTTTTGGTGATTTGTATTACCTGAGAAAGAGTAAATTTTCTATTTTTGTGTGAGTAAGAATTCAAAGTGGAAGGCAAGTGTAATACAAGAGAGGCCTGGGGACGTGACTAGTGAGCAGAGGAAATGTTTTAGTGCCAGGAATGTCTACATTGCATATTATGGACTCTGTTTTTAAATTGATATTTTTAATGTGTAAAATTGGCCACATTACTAATTTGTGGACTTGATAGGGTAATTGAATTGGGTGAATGGGCAGTTTCTTGTACAGCCTCTCCTCGCTTAACGACGGAGTTCCGTTCCTAAGACCACGTTGATAAACTAATTTGTCATTAACGAGCATACTATAATGGTAGTAGGTTTGTGTCAACCATCTTTGATATTGTTTTAATATCACCTTTGTCACCAGGTCAATATTTTTACTAGCTTTTCATTAACAATAGTGTTGAGTGAGGTAAGAATAGGGTGGGAGATGACATAAGTCATGTCATTTTGTTGGCAAAAGAGTAGGTTTATGGTGTTGATACATTAGGAAGATCATTGATGTATAAGAGGAAGAGCAGGGGATCAAGGACAATTTCCTGTGGTACTCCAGTATCCAGTGGTCTTGTTGATGAGGTTGTGCCCTTAATAGAGACGTATTGATGCCCCTTAGTAAGGCAGGATTTGAAATATGTAAGTGCATGGCCTCTTATACCATAATGATCAAGTTTGTGGAGTAGGATGCTGTGGTCTACTGTATCAAAAGCTTTCCTTAGGTCGATAAAGAGTCCTAATGGATATTCGTTTTTTCAAGTGCCGTGTAAAGCAGGTCTAGCATTTTTACAATTGTGTCGTTTGTGCTTTTGCTTTTTGTGAAGCAAATTGGCAGGGGTTAAGGATGCTTTGTGCTGTTATAAAGGAATATGATCTCTTGTGCACGAGTTTCTCGAAGATTTTAGATAGCAACAGTAAGTTTGATATTGGCCTGTAGTTGTTTACATCTGTGGGGTCACCAACTTTGTGTATTGGTGTAACTCTTGCTGTCTTGAGTAGTGTCAGGAAAGTGCTGGTTTCTAGTGATTTGTTAAAGAGTAATGAAATAGCAGGTGAAAGAATGTGAGCCTCTTGTTTGTACAATAATGGTGGGACTTGAGCCAGATTTCTTGATTTATTTTTAAGCGACTTAATAATCATGTTAACTTCTGTGGGCTCGGTTGATGCAAGATAGGAGGAGGTTGGGAAATTCCCACACAAGTAATCACTTGCTCGGGGATTGGTACCTGGGATTTTACTGGAGAGATTTGATCCTATGGTTGAGAAAGTCGTTTATCTTGTTAACTGTATAAATAGGCTGTAGTTGTTTCATTCAGTTTAGTTAGGACAATATCCCTAGTTTTTTTTTTTCAGTTTGTGGGTGCCCAGAATCTGAGAGTCTTCCAGGTCTGTTTTATATCTCCTCTTGTTTCATTGAATCTATTAGAATAGTACAATTGCTTAGCCTTTCTTACTAATTTGGTGAGGACTGATTCATAGATGCATCAGAGATGCACAGAGTTTGCAAATTTTGCACCTGTGAAATTCTATAATTTTTCTCTTACATTTTGTACCTATGGTGACATTACCCTCAGAAATAGATTATATGCTATTTCAGAGTAGGGGTCTGGAAAGTGAAAGGGTTAAGTACTGCAATAATCCCAGAAACCCTCAGTAGAGTCATAATGCTGTCATTTGGTTAGACACTTGGATCAGGAGCGATGCTAGCTCTTGACTTTTTCTCTGCTTTGTTTTAGTGACATAACCATACTTCATATTGGCAGTTTGGAGGGATATGTTGTGTATCTTTATGTGTGTGTGCTTCTAGACTGTTGTATTCTGGGCGCCTCTGCAAAGACAGTGATGGTGTGCGAGTGTGGTGAAAGTGTTGAGTGATGATGAAAGTATTTTCTTTTTGGGGATTTTCTTTCTTTTTTGGGTCACCCTGCCTCGGTGGGAGGCGGCCGACTTGTTGAAAAAAAAAAAAAAAAAAAACCATACTTCATGTAAGTATGACTATAATTGAGAAGTTATTCATGCTTAAATTTTAGAAATGGAGTTTACAGTGTGATGTAATGGCTTAGAAAACCAACAAGTTGAAGAATGAGACACTTGTTCAACATTTGGTAATCTTTACTGCAGAAACATTTCGCCAGCCAGTGGCTTCTTCAGTACAATTTAGAGAAGAATGGTGGAAGATGAGTTTGAAGTAATCAGTCTCTCAGCCTGGAGCTGATGTGTTCAATCCATCAGTCTGGGGAAAAGAGTGTAATGAATACTGAAAATGAATGTACAATTTATGATCTTTATACTGAAGAAGCTTGACCACACTAGGTGTTGCATTTTTGCCTTAACTTGAAATGACAAAACAATAATAAATGTAAATAAATTTCTTCAGCTTCATTAATCCTTTCACTATCCAGACCCCTGAAATTTTCTTTTTTCAAAACACCGGCCACATCCCACCAAGGCAGGATGACCTAAAAAAAATGAGTTGTTCTTTTTAAATTTAGTAATTTATACAGGAGAAAGGGTTACTAGCCCCTTGCTAAAATTAAGTGTTCACACTTACAAAAAAAATAATCTGAAATGGTAGAAAATATTTTTCTGAAGGTAACGACACCAAAAATGCAAAATTTGACGAGAAACTTAGGGAATTATTCAGGTGCAAACTTAGCAGTTTGGGTACAATTTATGCATCATTGATTATGCTAACTTAGTCCTATTTTAAGTTTATTCCATTGCTCATTTTCACCATGTTCTTAGCTGTTTTGCTAGTACAGTGTATACTAGCCTTCCATTCTAACAATTGAGCACAAGCTATCAAAACTATACTACGAAGTGCACGGTAGTCGGTAATTTGGATAATTTTACAAAAAAAAAAAAAGAAACTAGTTTAAAAACAGTGCAAAATAAAAATTGTAGACATTTCAGGCACTAAAACATTATTTCTGTTCATTAATTACATCCTCAGGCCTTTCCTATATTACACTTTCCTTCCATTTTGAATTCATCATCACAAAAAAGATCAGATTTACCCGGAAATGATTGATCATAGTTTACGGTGTCCCAGTGATTGAATCAATCCTAGTAAAATCCCATTATACAGATCAAGGATAAGCTATTGTAAACATTTTTCAAATTACCTCGCTTATTATATAATAAATATTAGTATGTATATATTGGTCAAGCAAATTTCCTTTTCAGCTGGAGCCTTGGAATGTTGACACAATCAGTAGTGATGGCTTCAGCAAAACTGTTATTAACAAGCTTGATCCAAGACATTCTGAAAATCTTACTGAGGAAGAGAAGGAAAAACGCATGAAAGAATTTGTTAAAAAGAATGAAACCAACATTAAAAAATACGGAATGTTCAGAAACTTTGATGACTCCCGACGATTCCTCATGGTAAGTAGTACTTGCATGTATTAACAAGCAGATAGATATATTTTACAATATTTATTAGACATTTAGCACTGCTTAATGTGGAATGATCATCACAGATTTAATGCTTTCCTCTGGCCATCTTCCACTGATGTAGGGTGACCCAGAAAAAGAAGAAACACTTTTATCACCACTCGATCTATTATTGTCTTGCCAGAGCGGCACCAATACTACAGTTCAAAACTGCAAAATATCCCCACCTCTCCTTCAGAGTGCAGGCATTGTACTTCCCACCTCCAGGACTTAAGTCCAGCTAACCAGTTTCCCCTGAATCCCTTCATAAATGTTACTTTGTTCACACTCCAATAGCACGTCTCGTCATAAAAACAACTTCTTTCCACTCACTCCTCACACACCCCATATTTAACACAATTTTCCATCTCAAATAATTCGCCACAGATGGCTTGTTGAAAGAAGAAAGATGGTAGAATACCATGATTACATCAGCAGGGCATGTGGAAATATAAAATGATCTAAAACCTAAACAACCTCTCAAGACCAAAAGAAAATATACAGTGGACCCCCGCTTTACGATCACCTCCCAATGCGACCAATTATGTAAGTGTATTTATGTAAGTGCATTTGTACGTGTATGTTTGGGGGTCTGGAATGGACTAATCTAAATCACAGTATTCCTTATGGGAACAAATTCGTTAAGTACTGGCACCTGAACATACTTCTGGAATGAAATAATATCGTAAACCGGGGGTCCACTGTATTTATCTATATAAACAGGCATGGTTATTACAAACATTACTATTGTTTCACTGCCAGATTAAGGTATCTTGCCTCCTCAATTTAAGCCTTGTAACATTAGGGCTGTGGAGTTGGAGGCGGAAGCAATTCTTGGGGTCACTGGAGTTGGGGTCAGTTAAATGTAATTAAAGAAGTCGAAGTCAAAGGTTGTATGTACCAATTCTACAGCCCTGATAAACATAATAGACCTACAACATTGAAACAATATAAAAAGATGTAGAAATAGGAAAACTGGATCAAAGTTTAGTAAAAAAAAAAAAATTGCAGTATGAGTTTTGAAGAATTGAGACACTTATGCAACACGTGGGAATCTTTATTGAAGAAACGTTTCTTCAATAAAGATTCCCATGTGTTGCATAAGTGTCTCAATTCTTCAACTTGTCAGTTTTCAAAACCATTCATCACAAGTATGAGTTTTGTTAACCTTGATCCTGATGTTCTATCTCTGCCTCCAAGCATGTTGCTTGTATGTTGTAGATACATTTGTATAACCAACCCCCACCAGGGATGTAGATACCAGACATACTGATGCTGGATGAATCGAAACAATTCCCTTGACTGACAAAATTAACTAATGACTATTAAAAGACAAGAAAATGTAATTAACTACACACACATGAAATCTAGCAGCTAACCAGACAAAATAACCTAACTATAACCCATCCTAAGCCATCAACCAAACAAAATGAAGCTAGCCAAACCACTAAGTAACTAATAACATCCCTTCAAACAGAAATCCAATCACGGCTCAAGGATCTCGACACCAGTCAAATAGAACCAGCAGACAGGTGTGATGGAGCAACCTAGCTGTAATATGAGCCTGTTAGTGACCCAAAACATGATATAACCCTGTAAAAGGTCTTATATATCATGTGTTGGGCTATATCTACTTGTGTACAGTATATATGTACTTGTTACTCTAAATAATAATAGCCAGAGTTACTGATGTTATTGTGTTCGCACAGGAGCACACACAGCTAGCATGCGAGGATACTGCCAACTACTTGGTCGTATGGTGCATCAACCTGGAGATGGAGGAGAAGCATGAGCTTATGTCTCACGTAGCTCACCAGACCATCTGCATGCAGTTCATTCTAGAGCTGGCCAAGCAGCTGGAGAGGGACCCACGGTCCTGTATATCAGCTTTCTTCCATAGGTAACTAAATATTTCATTTATATCCGAAGTAATAAATGGCATTGGTTCAGTTTGCTTGCATCTAATGCATCATAATTTCTGCGGTGGAGTATTAATGAGAGTAGAAATAATCTGCCTTTAAAATTTCTGAATTTCCTGAATTGTGGACTTCCATTCTTCAAAGGGAGGAGAGGGGGGATGGGGCTGCAATGATGCTGGAGGAGGCAGCTGGAGGGAAGATTTGCTTGTTCATTAACTTATTTAGAATTATTTTAGTTGAATTCAGCTGTTTTTATCATAACTGAATATTTTTTTGTAAGTAGATTTACATGTACAGGTATTTACTCCATGGTTACATCATACATACTTTGACAGGATACAGCAGGCTGAACCAGAATACAAAAAAGCTTTCACAGACGAACTGGATGGCTTCAAAGATCGTGTGAAGAAGCGTGCAGCACAGAAGCTGGAAGAATTACTAAAGGAAGCAGAAGAGGAAGAACGGCAGGCTCGACTTGGTCCTGGTGGTCTTGATCCCCTTGAGGTTTTGGACACACTTCCTGAGGTAAGTTTCTGTTTTATATGGCCTTAATAAAGAAGCTTATCTAATTGATTTTCCAGTAGTTTAATTGATTGATAGAGGATGCAGAATCTTTTAAACATTAATTGCCTCACTAACCAACCTAATTAAAGACATGTGATATTATACTTGGTTAGGGATTTCAGGGTCTGGAGGGTCATTTAAATTGTGTTTCAGGGTTTCAAGAGTCATTGGTATTGTGGTGTCTGTACATCTAGATAAACAGCTTAAAAATGAGTAATGAACATAATTTTTTTTTTTTTTTTACCTTGGCCATGGTGGAAAATGGCAGATGTGCTAAAACAAGATATTTGATTGGATTTGCAAATTTCTGTATAGGCCTTGAATTATCTTGCCCATAATCTGTTCAGTTCACATTCATTATTAACATTCATTATTAACAGTGATAATTCTGTCCCTCATTGTTACTTTAATTTTATTCATCACCTATTTTATTAAGAGCATTTTAGGGGGTTTGAGAGCGAGTAGTATGGGGTGTGGGAGTGAGTTGGAGTATGGGTGTGGAAGAGAATTGCTGAGAAGTGGGTGTCTTAAGCTCTGGGTACCTAATATTTTGCCCATCTTGAATGAAAGTGAGATCACTGGAATTATTTGTTGCTGTTCTTACTGCATATATTTTTGTGAGGGGAATGAAGTTTTTTTCATTGCAGGTATTTTTTAAAGACCAAAGCTTGTTTTACTATTGCTTGTGGCACAAGGATATGGAGGTCTGTTGGTGCTCAGGCTATGTTGTTGCCCCAGGAAATGAAGGAACAGATGCCACATCAAAGCTGCTGTAGTGAGCCACTGACTCTGTAGTAGACTTTTGCCTTACTGCAATTTCCTGAGTCGTATTCACAGATATATCTTTGGGAAGTGGTGGGCCCTACAGACTAGGAGCAATTTATACAAAGTTGGACAGGACATGCATGTTTGGCCCTCCTGCATCAGGAATATTCATTCGAGATGAATCTGTTGTTTGAGGATCAGTCATACACGCCACGCCCATTGCTACCTGTCCATAGGTGCTCCTGCCTCCCTCCCTCCCCTCTGTGAGGCTTGTGGTTTAGGCATTTCTGCTTTTGTCAAGGCTTTTATAAATACTGGTTGCCTGTAGTGATCTTTGGAACTTTTAGGGAAGTCTTTTGATGTTAATAATTTAGTGGATTTGAAATTATTGGTAAATTTAACTTAGTTTGGTAGTATTTGTGTTGAGCACTTTATTTATGTTCATAGCTATTTTTGTCACTGTTATCAGTGTGTGTGTCTGTCTGTCTGTCATTACTTTTTATTGGTATGATCACTGATTGATTGACAAGCATGGTCTAATTCCTTGTTAAATATCACAATTATTATTGCTGTTGCTTGTAATGAAAATATCTGTTTTTGTTTAAATCCTTTTAAACATTCCTAACAAAAATATATACATTTTTTCAGGAGTTAAAGAAATGTTTTGAAAGTCAGGATGTAGAACTGTTACAAAAGACAATAGAGAAGATGGATCCCCAGGATGCGACATACCATATGAAACGCTGTATTGATTCAGGACTTTGGGTTCCTGGTGCAAAGGATGCCAAGAGCGAGTAGCAATTCACTGAAACATTTGCCTCCTTGTTAAGTTCTTGCAGGTGTTATTTGCCTTGCTACACTTGCCAAAACTAATTGTGATAGCTTGAAAAACACAGTATATATTGTCGTACAATATATACTGTGTCTACCCATAGGGAATATGTTGATCAAGAAAAAATGAAGAGAAAGTTTGTAATAATCAAGACGAATATTTCATTGCTTCCTTAAGTTAGTGTTTTATTTTCATAGCTCATCATTGTATTATTTTAAGAAGTAGGGTATTTATTCAAATTTCTATAAATTGTATTTCTGATTTAAATTATATTAAAAATTCCAGTTATGTGTCATGTGTCTCCTGTGCAATACAAGGTCACAAATTGTGATGCATGTTAAGTCAGAACCCGATTTCTGTGTGTCGACAGTGTTTCATATATCAGAGAGAGAGAGAGAGAGAGAGAGAGAGAGAGAGAGAGAGAGAGACTTACATTTCAACTTGGTGTACACTAAAATGAATATTACCGGTAATTGTGTATTTCTGTTGTGTAATTTATTCACACTAGTAGTTTTTATTGTTAATTTGATCTTGTGTTGCATTCATTTTTTATAATCAAGAGTGCCGAATGTTACAGTGGTCAAGACAAGCTCCAGATTTCAAAATTATATACCTACCTGCAATCATTATGGAGTTGAATTTTAAATGATTAATCTTATGCTTGTTTATGCTCATTATGATTATTTTGCACAAGTTTTCATTTTCTCCACATTATTATATTGTCTATATAGATAAATAATAAAGAATTGTTTCATTTTTCCAAATTATTTAATGATCATAGCTTCTCTCTGATAAACCCTTTCTAGATGTTCGTGATACATTTTTTCCTCAACATACACGTGTTCTCTATATAATTCCTAGACTTGTAGTGATGAATGTGTATCTTATTGGCACCACTGATGAGCAGTCTTTTCATGTTGGTAATATGAGCTCTAATGCTCTAATCCTTACTTTATCTTCCCTCCTCACTGACAGCCCCACCTTTGACACAGACTCCTTTGCATTTTTGCCAGCAACAGCTTTATTACACCAATTTTGATTACATGCACTTCCTCTAGCACTTCTCACTGCCCTTCCTAACTCTACCTCTGTTATACAGATGCCCACAAAAACACTCCCTGGTTTCAAACATGTATAACATGTAACTTTATTGTAATAATCTTATACAGTTAGTAGCTTCAGATGCAGGATTTCATTGTTTCATGTGGTATAGGGTAGCATTAAAGGCACTCAATGTGCGTTCCTCTGGTTGCTTGGCAAACATAAATGCGATAGTCCAGTTCAGTCCAGGTGCTCTGCAGCATGTCTGGTGTTATTGTACTAACTACTTCAGTGATTGAAATCTTCAGCTCCTCCAGGGTTGCAGGTAGTGGTGGTATGTAAACTGTGCTCTTTACGTACCCCCAAAGAAAAGTCACAAACAGTTAGGTCCGGTGACCTCTGCATGTGGCTTGCGAGGTCACAGGACCTAACTGTTCGTGACTTTTCTCTTTGGGGTTACGTACCACCACTACCCGCAACCCTGGAGGAGCTGAAAAATTCGACCACTGAAGCAGTTCGCATGATAACACCAGATATGCTGCAGAGTGGTTGGACCGAACTGGACTATCGCATCGATGTTTGCTGAGCAACCAGAGGGGAGCACATTGAGTGTCTTTTAATGCTACCTTGTACCACTTGAAATTGAATGAAATCCTGCATTTGAAGCTACTAGCTGTGAAAGATTATAGTTGTTACATGTTTGAAGTCGGGGAGTGTTTTTGTGGACACCCCATACTCTTCACCCATGCTGATCTCTGATCAGACATGTTACTCCTTTTAGCACGTCCTGCCCTGCAGTGCTATATGACCCTTGTGGGTTTAGTGCTTGATTATAATTAGTTCTCACTCTCCTGTGAGGATAGACCCTTTCATATGGGGAATAAGTCTTCATTATTGCCTTGGGCTGTAATTGGCCTAAACTTTCCCCACCATCAGATGCAGTGGAAAGTTTGCCATGCCTTTACTGTGCCTGGAAACATGTATTAATTTGTCTCTAGGCCCTCGCAACCCCTATTCTAAATAATATGCTCTCCTCAAAGGACCCTTGTGGCTTAGTGCTTCTTTTTGATTATAATAAATCTCAAAGGAGATTCCTTGATGTCAGTGAAAGGCTCTAACAAGGAACTAGGTCTTCCCTCTTCCTTGGATCAAATCTGCATGCTTTCTAGATGCTGTATGATCCCTGGGCAGCAGTGTATAACCCTAGTGTGTGTAGCGCTTTTTGATAATGTATGATCCCTGAAGGTTTAGCACTCCCCAAGAACGTGAGTATTTAGCTGTGCTTTTTGAGTGGTTACATTATTAATCTGTGCTCCAGTTCCCCGAATTAAGCCTGAATGCCTTCCACATCCCCCCCCAGGCGCTGTATAATCCTCCGGGTTTAGCGCTTCCCCCTTGATTATAATAATAATAATAATACATTATTAATGCCATGCTCATCCTGTGAGCAGTAGCATTGAGAACACGTAAGTCTCTATCTAGCTAGTCTTTCCATTTTGGTTGAGGTTTTTTCCATGAAAGAAGACTGGGCTCGATACTGCGTAAGTTACTAGTGGTCCTAAAAACCTAGCTGGAAGATCAATAAGTTTGACTTGCGCCAGCCTTCATTGAAAATGGATGGACGTCTCGCCCTCGCCTAAGCATCGGTGACAAATTTCACTCTTCTCTGGGATGTTTGTCCTCGGTTTACTTTGCCTACTGGGCAACTTCCAGATGCAGCACCTTTTCATCAGCTCAGTTTTAGCCAGTGTGGAAAATTTTGGATTTTCCTAAATACAGCATGTGTAAATTTGAATAATACAATGGCTGTGTAATGAAATGTGATGCTGATTCGACCCTTTCGAAAAATTTCTAGGGGGGGAGGGGTGGAGAAGAGCTGCTGAGTGGTTTGGAGAGAGACCATATTGAATTTAATGTGTGAACACTGGATCAAATTCTGCTATTAATCCAGAGTCCTCTGAAGCCAACTTAAGGGTGTTTTGGCCTGAATTTGTAATTAGAAACCCATATTAATGTTCCCTGCTGAAGAATTGGGACAGGAAATTCGCGGGACCTCAAAAATTACATGTGGATGGCAAAAAATAAGGGATGCAACATTACTCACAGGGAAGTGCACCATTAGTCCTTGCATTTAGATCACTAGCTGGCCAGTGTATGGTCTAGGTGTTAGGCAGGTGTTAAGATAAGATTTCGTTCGGATTTTTAACCCCGGAGGGTTAGCCACCCAGGATAACCCAAAAAAGTCAGTGCATCATCAAGGGCTGTAACTTATTTCCATTGGGGTCCTTAATCTTGTCCCCCAGGATGCGACCCACACCAGTCGACTAACACCCAGGTACCTATTTGCTGCTAGGTGAACAGGGCAATAGGTGTAAGGAAACGTGTCGAAATGTTTCCACCCGCCGGGAATCGAACCCGGGCCCTCCGTGTGTGAAGCGGGAGCTTTAGCCACCAGGCCACCAGGTGTGCTCCATCTACAGTAATTAAATGGTAAGTATTAATATGAATATTTTGTGTATCCAGCAAGTAAACCAAAGTAACATACAGTCCACATACCTTTAATTACCAGAGTAGCTGGTTTTATTATTATAATTATTAATTTAATATCAGGTCTAGCTTTTTGTCAAAGTGGTGAAGAAGTGGGCAGTCAAAGGAGTGGCAATTCAGCGACCTACTGTGACTAAGTCCCACTTTCCTCAACCCTATTACTTGCAGGTAATAATTCAGGTAATGCCCTGTAAGCCTCCTGCAGGTGATTTGCTAGCATAATATTCAAAGTCAGCTCCATGTTTCAGCTCTTCGGATATTTCTCCCCTCAAGGAAGGTTCCTTGATGTTGGTGAGGGGCTCTTGATTTAGGGAATTGGATCTGTGCTCCAGTTCCCCGAATTAAGCCTGAATGCCTTCCACATTCCCCCCCCCCCGGCGCTGTATAATCCTCCGGGTTTAGCGCTTCCCCCTTGATTATAATAATAATAATAATTCGGATATTTCTTTAACGATTTTAGTGAGAAGCCGGTACCTGAACTCAGTAAGTGCTTAGCGAGGAAGTCCACTTGATCTGTTGAGGAACTTATATTTTCTGTTTCTGTTCACAAAGGAACTCCTGTACGCTTTTCTTTCATGGCCCAGCTTTGGGAAATATCTCTTCTGCTTACATCAGGAAGGTTTCAATAATAATATATTAAAAGGCCCCCAAGGGAAACAAGTTACTTTGACTATTTTGGGTTATCCTTGCAAAGCTGTGGGACACTTGTGGGTTTAGCGCTTAGTTATTATGATAATAATAATAGGTTATCCTAGGTAATTTGCGTTATGTATGATAATTGTACTTATGTGTACCACTGCCTATATAAACACCGAATGTCCGTGGTTCAATCCCCGGCCGGGTAGAAACACTGGGCATATTTCCTTACATCTTCTGTCCCTGTTCACCTAGAGTATAGCCCTTAGTGTTTTAATAATAATAATAATAATAATAATAATAATAATAATAATAATAATAATAATAATAATAATAGTAATAAAGATCCCAATGGAAATAAGTCACTCTGACTTTTTTTTGGGTTATCCTAGGTTCTGTACATATATGCTGCTATGTATGGTAATCTAAGTAACTGTATCTGTGTATACCTGAATATTTACTTAATAATAATAATAATGATATTCACCTAGCAGTAAGTAGGTATTTGGGTGTTAGTCGACCGTGTGGGTCACATCCTGAGGGATAACATTGAGGACCATAGTGGAAATAAGACAGACATTCTTAGATGAAACACTGACTTTCTTGGGTTATCCTGGGTGACTAATCCTCCAGGTTAAGACTCCGAAAATCCGTATAAGTTGTATCATGTACTTGCAGAAATGTGTTTTTGTTTATTATTGTTATTATTGATATCTTAAACAGGGTTCAATACCCAGCAAGTTGTCAGTGGCCCTTCCATCCCAACAACAGCACTCAGGTACTTGGGTGTTAGTTACCTTGCACCTGCTGTCCCTGTTCATCAAATAGTCAGTAAGTATCTGGGTGTTAATTGACTGTGGGGACAGGATTTACTGAATCTGTCAGAAATGCTCTGCATAATCAGGGATTTTCTGTAAAAATATGCCCATAATGTCAACCATTATTATTATTATAATCAAGGGGGAAGCGCTAAACCCGGAGGATTATACAGCGCCTGGGGGGGGGGGATGTGGAAGGCATTCAGGCTTAATTCGGGGAACTGGAGCACAGATCCAATTCCCTAAATCAAGAGCCCCTCACCAACATCAAGGAACCTTCCCTGAGGGGAAATAATGTCAACCAGATCTGTATCATATATTTGTACAAAGAATTACGATGATGGTGGGGTAATAATTCATGTTTGCCATGATGATATATTAGACACATGTGCAACACTTGGGTGTCTTTAATGAAGAAACGTTTCGCCACACACTGGCTTCATCAGTCCATACGAAGGAGAATGGTGAAGAACAGGAGGAGTTTAAGGTAATCAGTCCCTCATCCTTGAGTTGATGTAGTCAGTCCATCAATCTTGTAGCAGTCGTAGGTGGTGTCACATATGACCAGTGTGGAAGTAGGTCGTGCCCAAGGGTTAGGCAAGTTGAAGAATTCCCTGTATTAAGATCCATGATGTTGCTGTGTCAGACAGGAATGTAGATGAATGGTTCAGAGAACCAACAAGTTGATGTGTCTAATTTTTCAACTTGTTGGTTCTCTGAACCATTCATCTGCATGTTTGTCATATAATAAATAACATTGCTGTACACTAACGGCCCCCTTCAAGGCTGGTGACATTGCAGATCTGGAGAGTGTACAAAGAACTTTCACTGCACATTTTAGCACAATAAGGCACCAAAATTACTGGGAATGGTTGAAGGTCCTTGATCTGTATTCCCTGGAATGCAGGCGAGAGAGAGATACATGATAATATACACTTGGAAGGTCCTGGAGGGATTGGTACCAAACCTGCAAACAAAAATCACTCCCTATGAAAGCAAAAGACTCGGCAGGAGATGCAACATTCCTCCAGTGAAAAGCAGGGGCGCCACGAGTACACTTGAGAGACAATACAATGAGTGTCTGGGGTCCAAGACTGTTCAACTGCCTCCTAGCCTACATAAGGGGGATTACCAATAGACCCCTGGTTGTCTTCAAGAAGGCACTGGACAGGCACCTAAAGTCAGTACCTGACCAATCGGGCTGTGGTTCGTACGTCATCTTGAGTGCGGCCAGTAGTTACGTAACAGCTTGGTTGATCAGACCCTGATCCACTGTGAGGCCTGGTCTCAGACTGAGCCACGGGGGTTTGACCCCCGAAACCCTCTCCAGGTAAACCTAATGACCCATAAGGATTTAGCAGAGAATTGTGTATGAATAGAATTTTGGGATGGGGGTAGGGACTGTATGACCCTTGTGGGTTTAGTGCTTAGTTTTTATTATAATACTACTACTACTAATAATAAACAGTCTTATTTTTAGCATGAAGTTGTAGTGGTGATCAGATAAGATTGGAAATAAAAAATGAAATAGTGGTCCTAGAAAAATTACACAGTGGTTTAGACAGGATTATAATTTAATTTGTATTTTTTTTTTTTACAGGAAATGATTCTGCACTAAAATATTGTAAAAGTTGTATACTGTACCACAAAAATGAAAACTAGTGGAGATTTCCGTGATCACCTCGTGGACCTCACAGAGACTGGGAACAAAGCGGGAGATTTAAACATAGATAAACAACCACAACGCAAGGTGAGATATTAGACTGCTTCTTCAGATTGTGTATATTTAATTTTCAATGCAGCATAAATTTTTGTTTTTAGATTTTACTTTACTAGAGCTCAGGTCTAGTTGCATAAAATGATTACAGTACCCAACAAATTTTAACTTTTTATCCAATTCAGAAACCCAGTTTATTTTAGGCTAACTTTGATGCACTGACCACGAATCTAAGCATGTTTAGTTTACCACATAAACTATTTTCAAAATTTTTTGATTAATATTTTGGCTATTTAAGGTTGAAGAAGCACATGATATGTTGCTTAGCAATCATAGGTATTGTATTATGCAAGGATATAGAGTGGGGTGTATGCAATGGCAACAACTAATCTTTCTTAATGTAAATTCATTATACGTATTCTGTACGCATAACAAAAATCTCCCTGTAGACATACAAGTATACTTACATCACAGCTTTCAGATTTTTTTTGCTTGTGTTCAGTATCGTTCTTTCACACCAGTGTCCAACAGTAGCTGACCATCAAACTGATCATCAGATTTTCCTTATATCACTTCTTCCTGATGGTTGTCTTCATGAAACTGTTTACCATGGGGGTTCTGTTTCACAGAAACTTTGTGTTGTAGCAAAACTAAGTTCAGATTTGAATTCAGCTTCACAAATTTAGTTAGAAACATTTGTTTTTAAACTTTTTTTTTTTTTCAACAAGTCGGCCGTCTCCCACCGAGGCAGGGTGACCCAAAAAAGAAAGAAAATCCCCAAAAAGAAAATACTTTCATCATCATTCAACACTTTCACCACACTCACACATTATCACTGTTTTTGCAGAGGTGCTCAGAATACAACAGTTTAGAAGCATACACATATAAAGATACACAACATATCCCTCCAAACTGCCAATATCCCAAACCCCTCCTTTAAAGTGCAGGCATTGTACTTCCCATTTCCAGGACTCAAGTCCGACTATATGAAAATAACCGGTTTCCCTGAATCCCTTCACTAAATATTACCCTGCTCACACTCCAACAGATCGTCAGGTCCCAAGTACCATTCGTCTCCATTCACTCCTATCTAACACGCTCATGTACGCTTGCTGGAAGTCCAAGCCCCTTGCCCACAAAACCTCCTTTACCCGCTCTCTCCAACCCTTTCGAGGATGACCCCTACCCCGCGTTCCTTCCCCTATTCAAATTCAAATTCAAAGTTTATTCTCTATAAGGATTACAATGTTGAGTTTACAGAAATTTGGTTATTGTTTGGTTTACATGTAGTAAAATTGTGATTACAGAGTGTACCACTAGAACGCTTAGCATGGCTAGGCATTTCGGGCATACTTAGTTTTATTCTTAATTGTAAAATATTACAAATTATGAGGTAAGTTGGTATTATGGCTAAGTGACTAAATACTAGTTTATGAGTTTAGCAATGTGAATGCTTTTGTTTTGGCACAGTATATAGTTTCAGTATTGGAGTATCACAGGATTCATTATTTTAAGACTGAGATTAATATTTCTGTTTATGGTCAAATGAGTGAGCGAGTGTAAGTGTGAACCACCAGGTGGTATTCGTGTAGTTAGTTGACGGGGTGTATCAGGGAGATAAGATGTTTTCTAATGGTAGTTTTGAAGGTGATGAATGTGTCTGCAGTTCTAGAGTTCTCAGGTAGGGTATTCCAGATTTTAGGGCCTTTGACATACATTGAATTTTTGTAAAGGTTTAGTCGGACACGGGGAATGTCGTAGAGATGTTTGTATGCTTTCCATGTCATTCTACTTTGATCCATTCTCTGTAAATGACCAAACCACCTCAACAACCCCTCTTCTGCTCTCTGACTAATACTTTTATTAACTCCACACCTTTTCCTAATTTCCACACTCCGAATTTTCTGCATAATATTTACACCACACATTGCCCTTAAACAGGACATCTCCACTGCCTCCAATCATCTATTGGCTGCTGCATTTACCACCCAAGCTTCACATCCATATAAGAGTGTTGGTACCACTATACTTTCATACATTCCCTTCTTTGCCTCCATAGATAACGTTTTTTGACTCCACATATACCTCAACGCACCACTCACCTTTTTTCCCTCATCAATTCTATGATTAACCTCATCCTTCATAAATCCATCCGCCGACACGTCAACTCCCAAGTATCTAAAAACATTCACTTCTTCCATACTCCTCCTCCCCAATTTGATATCCAATTTTTCTTTATCTAAATCATTTGATACCCTCATTACCTTACTCTTTTCTATGTTCACTTTCAACTTTCTACCTTTACACACATTCCCAAACTCATCCACTAACCTTTGCAATTTTTCTTTAGAATCTCCCATAAGCACAGTATCATCAGCAAAAAGTAACTGTGTCAATTCCCATTTTGAATTTGATTCCCCAAAATTTAATCCCACCCCTCTCCCGAATGCCCTAGCATTTACTTCCTTTACAACCCCATCTTTAAATACATGTATATTAAACTACCATGGTGACATTACACATCCCTGTCTAAGACCTACTTTTACTGGGAAGTAGTCTTCCTCTCTTCTACACACCCTAACCTGAGCCTCACTATCCTCATAAAAACTCTTTACAGCATTTAATAACTTACCACCTATTCCATATACTTGCAACATCTGCCACATTGCTCCTCTATCCACTCTTATCATATGCCTTTTCTAAATCTATAAATGCAATAAAAACTTCCCTACCTTTATCTAAATACTGTTCACATATATGCTTCAATATAAACACTTGATCTACACATCCCCTACCCACTCTGAAACCTCCTTGCTCATCTGAAATCCTACATTCTGTCTTACCTCTAATTCTTTCAGTTATAATCCTACCGTACACTTTTCCTGGTATACTCAGTAAACTTATTCCTCTATAATTTTTACAGTCTCTTTTGTCCCCTTTCCCTTTATATAAAGGGACTATACATGCTCTCCGCCAATCCCTAGGTACCTTCCCCTCTTTCATACATTTATTAAACAAAAGTACCAACCACTCCAACACTATATCCCCCCCCTGCTTTTAACATTTCTGTCATGATCCCATCAGTTCCAGCTGCTTTACCCCCTTTCATTCTACGTAATGCCTCGTGTGCCTCCACCACACTTACATTCTGCTCTTCTTCACTCCTAAAAGATGGTATACATCCCTGACCAGTGCATGAAATTACTGCCTCTGTTTCTTCCTTAACATTTAAAAGTTCCTCAAAATATTCTCGCCATCTACCTAATACCTCCATCTCCCCATCTACTAACTCCCCTACTCTGTTTTTAACTGACAAATCCATACTTTCCCTAGGATTTCTTAACTTGTTTAACTCACTCCAAAATTTTTTCTTATTTTCATAAAAATTTCTTGACTGTGCCTCTCCCACTCTATCATCTGCTCTCCTTTTGCACTCTCTCACCACTCTCTTTACCTTTCTTTTACTCTCCATATACTCTGCTCTTCTTATAACACTTCTGCTTTGTAAAAACCTCTCATAAGCTACCTTTTTCTCTTTTATCACACCCTTTACTTCATCATTCCACCAATCACTCCTCTTTCCTCCTGCCCCCACCCTCCTATAACCACAAACTTCTGCCCACATTCTAATACTGCATTTTTAAAACTATTCCAACCCTCTTCAACCCCCCCACTACTCATCTTTGCACTAGCCCACCTTTCTGCCAATAGTCGCTTATATCTCACCCGAACTTCCTCCTCCCTTAGTTTATACACTTTCACCTCCCTCTTACTTGTTGTTGCCACCTTCTTCTTTTCCCATCTACCTCTTACTCTAACTGTAGCTACAACTAAATAATGATCCGATATATCAGTTGCCCCTCTATAAACATGTACATCCTGGAGCCTACCCATCAACCTTTTATCCACCAATACATAATCTAATAAACTACTTTCATTACGTGCTACATCATACCTTGTATATTTATTTGTCCTCTTTTTCATAAAATATGTATTACTTATTACCAAATCTCTTTCTGCACATAGCTCAATTAAAGGCTCCCCATTTACATTTACTTCTGTCACTCCAAATTTACCTACTACTCCCTCCATAACATTTTTACCCACTTTAGCATTGAAATCCCCAACCACCATTACTCTCACACTTGATTCAAAAGTCCCCACGCATTCACTCAACATTTCCCCAAATCTCTCTCTCTCTCCTCTACACTTCTCTCTTCTTTATTATCACACTGGCCGATTCCCGGCAAGGCAGGGTGGCCTGAAAAAAAAAAACTTTCACCATCATTCACTCCATCACTGTCTTGCCAGAAGGCAGTGATGGAGTGAATGATGGTGAAAGTTTTTAAATATATATTGAAATCATTGTTGTCTTGTTGTATTTCTAGGAGTTGGAGGCACCTACACTAAATTAACTTTACAACTCTGAGAATTGAACCTAATTACAAAGAACAAATTTTCTACTTCTAGAAATTGTATATATCATCATGATATTATTTTTACTTTTATATGCAATTAGGTTTCAAAGTTCTATGCTAGTAGCATAGGGAAGAGAGAGGAAGGGAAGCAAAAGAAAGGGATGAAGTTGAGAGAGGGAGGGGAAGAGAGAGAGTTTTAATTATTATCTTGCAGATTTGATTTAGTGTGATGGTGTTAACAGCTAGACCCTGGCTTCAGATACAGTATACTACTTTAAGCATTAAGGTGAATCAAATATAATTTCTGCCACTTTTTTTTCCTCCTGCTTGCAGAGTACTCCTGGTCGCATGAAGCTTGAGAAGTGGCTTCATTCATCCATGAAGATTGAAATGACTGATGGTCGTACTCTAGTTGGATCCTTTGTATGTACCGATCGAGATAATAACATTATTCTTGGATCTTGTACAGAACATCTCAGACCAGATGGTAGGTAATAAAGTTTGCACACTTGAATCTTTATTAAGTACCAAAATGCTTTAATAATATTAAACACATAAAATAAAAACAATGAACTTCGTATAGTAGTTGTACATATATATGCATAATGGAGAGGCAGTAGATGGGCTAAAAGTTTATATGCTGTTCTTAAATGCTTATAACTAGTATTTCCTTGATACACAATGGAAATGAAAGGGAGAGGGAGGGAACAAGAGAGAGAGAGAGAGAGAGAGAGAGAGAGAGAGAGAGAGAGAGAGAGAGAGAGAGAGAGAGAGAGAGAACAAACTTGCACAGCTCATTCTTCAATATTTATAAACAGGATACTATATATTAACATGTCATAATAATAACTGGGGAAAAATGTATGCATGTCATCGTTCCCCAATAAAAGAATTGACTTCATAAAGTATCGTTCATGATCAGTGTAAAAAATTACTTGCATGAACAGTATGCAGAACTTATTGGCAAATATAAGGCTGTCATAATCACATTTTCTATATTTTTCTATTTCGACCCCCCAAGAGCTGGAGACGACCCTCTTAAGGACATATACAGGTACAGTATATAAATATATTTTTTAAATTACTGTTAGATATAAGATGAATAATTATTTGTGGCAGTACCTACTTATACATAGCTACAGAAGCAGAGCTGTGCACTGGAGTATTTTATAATTGGTAAATTTTTATCAGACAACAATCTAACCTTGCCTAAATATTGTTAGAGAAAATTTTCTGAAAATCATATGGATAAATGAACAGAATCTGTGAGTATGAGCAGAAATCTATCAGCCTGTTAGTTATGCTCTCCTGCACACTTATTTTTCCCTGATTGTCTCCTTCTTCACAGACATTGTATAACCACAGTGTTGAGCACTTCATGATTATAATTTTCCTGCACTCTTATTACAGGTACATTATATTTATGGGGAGGAGTGCTAAACCTGCAGGGTCATACAGCACCTGTGGAATGAGAGGCAATCAGATGGGATACTAGGTGCAGATTAATAGATGAAAAACCTCTCACTGTCATCAAGGAATCTCCCTAGAGGGAAAATGGTCCATAAAAAGTGAGCGCTGAATGACATTTTTGGCGTTTTCTTGTAAATAATAGTGTAATAATTATAGTTCATAAAGTGAAGAAATGGTTCTTCAGAAAAGGAAGAGTTAAGAGCAGATTCATACAAGAGATGCCTTCCATAGTGGTAAAAATATATAGGTAAAGAAAATAGAAGGAACCATAGTGGTAAAAATATATTAAAAAAACAAACAAACAAACAAACTGTTGAAACAAGTACAGTATTGTATTCGGCTGGCTTCCTCCATGATATTGGTACTCTCATGGATGACTAAGGCCAGCCTCTACTACCTCAATACTTACGGTCTTGTTCATATATTAGGAATGACTTTATTCACTACATATCCATAACCGAGGCATCATTGTTACATGCACATTATTGTAACATTAATGTATATAAACCGCTTATTTATTGTAGAGGATGGACGAGAGGAGGAGCCAAGAGTCTTGGGGCTAGCTATGATTCCTGGGAGGCATATTGTTTCAATCTGCATTGATGAAGCTTCCCAGCCTCCCCAGCCCCCTACAAGCTTATATACATAACACTGGTGTTTCGGAGCAAGCAGCTGCTGGTCTGCATGAATATGGTAAATTTCATTTTGCATTTGTGAAAAATTACAAAAAAGTAGATGTCAATACTTGACACTTTGCCAAAATAGAAAAAATGTTACACTGTACAGTACATCATGATACAACTATATTGGCAGTTCTAATAAAAAGTCAGTTAAGGTATAAATTGTAAATCATACCTTTGCTGAACTATTCAGCATATTATGATGAACCAATTTTCAACTTTATTTAATTTGCAAATTTTAGAATTTTCTCATATTTTTTAGGGTGTCACTATACAATTTTTGTTTCTCTATGTGGTACAAATGATGTAATTTACATGTAAGAAAACTTTGGTAGGCACACAAGAAAGCCACTAATTATGCAGTGCATTATGGGCAAACTAATCCTAATGCTTAAATGTTATTTAAGATCCACTTCACACCTATAAACTTTGATTTTTTTTTTTTTAAGGCTTGGACACCACACAGCACCTCCATACTGTGTTCCAATTTTAGCATAATATGTATTGCATATAGCTTTCCACCATCTTTCAGTTTTATATTTGAAAGCTATTTTATGGTTTATTCAACCAGTGGAAGATATACTAGGAGAAAAGGTGATGGTATGTGCCTTCCACTTAGTCTTAGTTGATAAGAGAACCTAGCACTTTTGGGGGTGTCATTTTGGATTGTGTAGTAGCAGACCTGGAGAATATACAGAGAGTTTTCTCTTGATGTTTAAGTACAATAAAGCACTTAAATTACTGGGAATGGTTGAGGTCCACTGACCTGTACTCCTTGGAATGCAGGCAAGATACATGATAATATACACTTGGGAAATCTTAAGAGGGACTAGTTCCAAATCTGCACGTGAAAATCACTCCCTACGAAATTAAAAGACTGCAAGTGGTGCAACATCCTCCCCAGTGAAAAGCAGGGGGACCACAAGTACACTAAGAGACAACACAATAAGTGCCATGGGCCCAAGACTGTTTAACTGCTTCCCAGCATACATGAGGGGGATTATTATTTTCTTTCAACACATCAGCCGTATCCCACCGAGGCGGGGTGGCCCAAAAGGAAAAACAAAAGTTTCTCCTTTTACATTTAGTAATATATACAGGAGAAGGGGTTACTAGCCCCCCGCTCCCGGCATTCTAGTTGCCTCTTACAACACGCATGGCGTACGGAGGAAGAATTCTGTTCCACTTCCCCATGGAGATAAGAGGAAATAAACAAGAACAAGAACTAGAAAGAAAATAAAAGAAAACCCAGAGGGGTATGTATATATACGCCTGTACATGCATGTGTAGTGTGACCTAAGTGTAAGTAGAAGTAGCAAGATGTACCTGAAATCTTGCATGTTCATGAGACAGAAAAAAGGACACCAGCAATCCTACCATCATGTAAAACAATTACAGGCTTTCGTTTTACACTCACTTGGCAGGACGGTAGTACCTCCCTGGGCGGTTGCTGTCTACCAACCTACTACCTATTGGGGATTATTATTATTATTATTATTATAATGAAAGCCAAGTGCTAATGTGGGGGATTACCAATAGACCCCTGGCTGTCTTCAAGAGGGAACTGGACAGGCCCCTAAAGCCAGTTCCTGACCAACTGGGCTGTAGTTCATACGTCAGTTTGCATGCAGCCAGCAGTAACAGCCTGGTTTATCAGGCCCTGATCCACTGCAAGGCCTGGTCATGGACTGGGCCGCAGGGGCATTGACCCTTGACCACTCTCCAGGTATACCTCCAGCAACTACAGTGGACCCTCGACCAACGATATTAATCCGTTCCTGAGAGCTCATCGTTAATCGAAATTACCGTTAGTCAAGCTAATTTTCCCTACAAGAAATAATGGAAATCAAATTAATCCGTGCAAGACACCCAAAAGTATTGAAAAAAAAAATTTTTTACCACATGAAATATTAATTTTAATACATACAAACTGAAGAAGACATGTACAATTACATGACACTTACCTTTATTGAAGATCTGGTGATGATTAATGGGATGGGAGGGGAGAGTGTGGATGGTGTTAGTGTTTAGAAGGGGAATCCCCTTCCATTAGGACTTGAGGTGTCAAGTCCTTTTCCGGGGTTACTTCCCTTCTTCTTTTAATGCCACTAGGACCAGCTTGAGAGTCACTGGACCTCTGTTGCACAACATATCTGTCCATAGAGGCCTGTACCTCCCGTTCCTTTATAACATTCCCAAAGTGTTTCACAACATTGTCAGTGTCACAATTAAACACTTGTTCAGGTTTCAATTCTTCACTCTCTATGTACAACTTGAATTCCTGCACATATTTTTCAGCTGCTTTTTGGTCCGAACTGGCAGCCTCACCATGCCTTATCACACTATGTATGCCACTACGATTCTTAAATCTCTCAAACCAACCTTTGCTGGCCTTAAATTCACTCACATTACCACTAGTTGCAGGCATTTTTCTAATTAAATTGTCATGCAACTTCCTAGCCTTTTCACATATGATCGCTTGAAAGATGCTATCTCCTGCTATCTGTTTTTCGTTTATCCACACCAATAACAGTCTCTCAACATCTTCTATCACTTGCGATCTCAATTTCGAAAACATAGTTGCACCTTTGGCAAGAACAGCTTCCTTGATTGCCGTTTTCTTGGCCACAATAGTAGCGATGGTTGATTGGGGTTTTGTGTACAACCTGGCCAGCTCGGAGACACGCACTCCACTTTCATACTTAGCAATGATCTCTTTCTTCATATCCATGGTAATTCTCACCCTTTTTGCTGAAGGGTTGGCACTAGAAGCTTTCTTGGGGCCCATGGTGACTTACTTTGCAGGTGCAATCACTATAAACGCTGTGATAATATGAAATGTTCCGATTGTATGTTTGGATGGGACCGCGGTGGCTGGCTGGCTTGTAAACACTGGGCACAAGTGGACGTGTCTCGAATGGAACGAATCGTGTTGGTCGAAATTTTTAGAGCTAGTCGAAGCAAAAATTTTGCGTTAAAATGTATCGCTAGTCGGATTTAACATTAGACGATGCCATCGTTGGTCGAGGGTCCACTGTACTTGGGTACAGCATTAGAATATGATGACAGTGACCAAGGAAGCAGTGACTTGATATACTGTCCTTATACATCCGTATAACTTCAAAAAGTCCTTTAATTGTCCAGCACTTATGGAATTAAGATTTAACCCATAAACGGTCCAAACGTATATATACATTCACTACCGTACTGCCCCAACTTTTTTGAGAAAAAAAAAAAAACGTTTTTAATAAGAAAAAAGAGCATATGGTACCCAGGCATCTCCAATTATTTTAATATTGTGCACAGTGAGTGCTCACACCCATTCTCACATGTCTAGGCGACTCAGGCTTATCATAGCAATGTTAAATGTAGGATGCATAAAACGTATATATACGTTTGGAGCACTAGCGGTAAAAACGTATATATACGTTTGGACTGTTTATGGGTTAAGATTAAGATTTTTTTTCTTTTTACATTAAGGATAATCTTTTCTTTCTTTCTTTCAACGTACCAGCCGAATCCCACTGAGGTGGGGTGGCTCAAAAGGAAAAACGAAAGTTTCTCCTTTTAAATTTAGTAATACAGTGGACCCCCGCATAACGATGGCATCACATAGCGATTTTTCCGCATACCGATTACTTTTATCGCAAAATTTTTGCCGCGCATACCGATTAAAAACCCGCTTACCGATTTTCGTCCGAGACGCGTCCAATGTGCCCTCACATGTGCCGGCCGTCCCATTGTTTACCAGCCAGCCTCCGCGGTAACATCCAAGCATACACTCGGAATATTTCGTATTATTACAGTGTTTTCGGTGCTGTTTCTGGAAAATAAGTGACCATGGGCCCCAAGAAAGCTTCTAGTGCCAACCCTGTGGTAGAAAGGGTGAGAATTAGTATGGAAATTAAGAAAGATTTTGAAGGGTTTGGGGCTAACCCTGAGAAGCCTATGCCAGTTGTGGAATCCATTGTGCCTACTTCAAAGATTAAGGAAATGTGTGCACAGTGGGTTGAACTGCAAACCTTTATAGATGAAAATCACCCTGACACAGCTGTTGCAAGCCGTGCTGGTGACTATTTCAATGACAATGTTATGGCCCATTTTAGGAAAGTCTTGAAGGAACGGGAGGTACAGAGCTCTATGGACAGATTTGTTGTGCGACAGAGGTCCAGTGACTCTCAAGCTGGTCCTAGTGGCATTAAAAGAAGAAGGGAAGTAACCCCAGAAAAGGACTTGCTACCTCAAGTCCTAATGGAAGGGGATTCCCCTTCTAAACAGTAAGAAGATAATGCTCTCCCCTCCTCCCATCCCATCAATCATCACCAGATCTTCAATAAAAGTAAGTGTCATTTAATTGTGCATGCCTTTTTCAGTTTGTGTGTATTAAAATTAACATTTCATGTGGTAAAAAAAAATTTTTTTCATACTTTTGGGCGTCTTGCACGGATTAATTTTATTTCCATTATTTCTTATGGGGAAAATTCATTCGCATAACGATTATTTCGCATAACGATGAGCCCTCTTGCACGGATTAAAATCGTTAACCGGGGGTCCACTGTACATGTATATACAGGAGAAATGGTTACTAGCCCCTTGCTCCCGGCATTTTAGTCGCCTCTTATGACACGCATGGCTTACGGAGGAAGAATTCTGTTCCACTTCCCCATGGAGATAAGAGGAAATAAACAAGAACAAGAACTAGAAAGAAAATAGAAGAAAACCCAGAGGGGTATGTATATATATGCTTGTACATGTATGTGTAGTGTGACCTAAGTGTAAGTAGAAGTAGCAAGATGTACCTGAAATCTTGCATGTTTATTTTTTTTTTTATTATCACACTGGCCGATTCCCACCAGGGCAGGGTGGCCCGAAAAAGAAAAACTTTCACCATCATTCACTCCATCACTGTCTTGCCAGAAGGGTGCTTTACACTACAGTTTTTAAACTGCAACATTAACACCCCTCATTCAGAGCGCAGGCACTGTACTTCCCATCTCCAGGACTCAAGTCCGGCCTGCCGGTTTCCCTGAGCCCCTTCATAAATGTTACTTTGCTCACACTTCAACAGCACGTCAAGTATTAAAAACCATTTGTCTCCATTCACTCCTATCAAACACGCTCATGCATGCCTGCTGTAAGTCCAAGCCCCTCGCACACAAAACCTCCTTTACCCCCTCCCTCCAACCTTTCCTAGGCCGACCCCTACCCGCCTTCCTTCCACTACAGACTGATACACTCTTGAAGTCATTCTGTTTCGCTCCATTCTCTCTACATGTCCAACCACCTCAACAACCCTTCCTCAGCCCTCTGGACAACAGTTTTGGTAATCCCGCAATCCTACCATCATGTAAAACAATTACAGGCTTTCGTTTTACACTCACTTGGCAGGACAGTAGTACCTACCTGGGCGGTTGCTGTCTTATCAACCTACTACCTAGAATTAAGGATAATATCTAGTGTAAATACACAAGTTGAATACAACCAGGGCCAGTGCAAGGTGAACCTCTCAAACACCATTATGTATTATATTCATGGGAAGTACTAACCCTTATTGGGGTTACACAGCACCTGGGGAATGGGAAGTAATCAGACTTGATCCAAGGAATGTTAATCAATTTATGGGGAAGCATTAAAACAATAAGGTTAATACAGTGCTTTGATTTGAGAAAGCAAGGTTAGTGCTTTCTCAAATCAAGATTTTTTTCACCAGTACTCAGATCAGTGCCATTAGTCTGAGCCATTGAGAGTAATTTAAAAAAAAAAAAAAAATAGACCCTGCTGTGGAAAATTAGGCCAGTAGCAGAACAAGTGTCAGTCTGCAGGTTCTTTGCCCTGAGAATTCTAATGTCCAGGGATACAGCAAAATATAATTTCTTTTTACCTACTGAAAATGGGACAGTCATTGTTGTACATGAAGTATGATGGATTTGTAGATTCAAATTTCTAGATTGCTTGTAATGCACCTTTGGAAGTCTGAAACAAGAGGCAGACATGATTGCAATGTGTTTGACAATGGAGAGCAGTGCATACTACCATGTGGTGAAAATAATGATTGACCAGAAAATATACATAATTACTTTTTTGGAGAAAAAGCCACATACTTAACCCTATCTTGGGATTTGAAACAATTAGCACATATGCTGTAGCTTGCAAATGGGGGCTAAAGATGTTCAAGAGAGCACATGAGTCCATAACAGACGTGGAAACAGATAGGAGCAAACATTGAATCAGTGTTATTTCTCAGAGGAAGGAAAAATGAATATATATAAGATTGAATGTAGAGGAGGTAAATTAAGTGGCTACCAAAACTCAAACAAACGAGGTGAGAGTTAATGACAAAACTGAATAGTGATTCCTTTTACCTTAAAAGTAGTTAACTTTGATGGGAAATATCTCTATCTAAACCACAATTAAAAATAGTATGGTCATTCAGGTTTGATTTTAGAAAAGATTGGGATACTCCGACTGCTTGGTCTTTTCTTAAGAATAAAAATTATTAATTTATAAATTTATTTCAAAGAATGAGTGTTTAACAGTGGTATATGAAGTTCCATTAAACTATGGATTACAGCTTTTCCATAAACAAGCTTTTTAATTTTAAAAGCACATAATCAACTATTATAATACAGTGGACCCCCGCTTAACGATCACCTCCAAATGCGACCAATTATGTAAGTGTATTTATGTAAGTGCGTTTGTACGTGTATGTTTGGGGGTCTGAAATGGACTAATCTACTTCACAATATTCCTTATGGGAAAAAATTCGGTCAGTACTGGCACCTAAACATACTACTGGAATGAAAAAAGTTCGTTAACCGGGGGTCCACTGTATTCCTTTCCAAAGAACTTATACAGTATTAGTTAAAATTCTATTCCTTGTAACTTAAATATACATAGGGTGCAATGAGTAATAAATTACTAGCATTATCAGTGAACTGACTCACAAGCACTGTCCAGTTTGTCTGCCAGCTTCAGGACAGAAGACATTTTTAACTGTTAATCTTAGCATCTGCCAAGATGTTATTACTATATTATTACCTACAGAAAATAATTTCTATATTTATCTCAATAATTAGTAGGTTAGCAAGGAAGTTGAATTAACATCTTTGAAGGATATTCTTTGGAATGTCACACTGCCAATTTAGGTATTCACACTGTATATAGATATATGCCTATTTTTTAATTTCCAAATGGCAGTTCTGTGCAGAATTTATAGGTGCAAGTTTTTTGATTGCATAATAAATTTCCTTTTTAATCCAACACACTTGGTTTTATACTTGCACACCAATTTCAATAATAGAAAGACATCATGGTTCATGTGTGAGGTACTCCCTTAATTATTCAGTCAAGTTCTCTTTTTATTCATCCACATCTTTTATACCAAAATTTTTAATACCCTTGTACATTGTAATTGCCTTTGAATATTAATCCTACTTTTTTTTTTTCAACAAGGTGGCCGTCTCCCACCGAGGCAGGGTGACCCAAAAAGAAAGAAAATCCCCAAAAAGAAAGTATACTTTCATCATCATTCAACACTATCACCTCACTCACACATAATCACTGTCTTTGCAGAGGCACCCAGATACAACAGTTTAGAAGCATATATAGATATATAACATACCCCTCCAAACTGCCAATATCCCAACCCCTCCTACATATTATAATCAAGGGGGAGCACTAAACCCGTAGGATTATGCAGGGAATGTGGAAGGTATTCAAGCTTAATTTTACGTAAATCAATGAATAGTTCAGATACGTGATGACTAACATGAATACACATTACAAATTCTTTAATTTATATTTTTGGGGATTTATGAGTTTTGTTAATGTGCAAGGAGTCTTGTAGACAGTATTTGGTTTAATTGGAAATTTAGTTTATTAAAATTTTCAAAATTTTATATAACCCAAGCTGCCTCTAAACCCTCCCAATAACCATTCCAGGCAGGGGTGGAACCAGAATTTCTATACTGGGAGGTTCTTGAGATTGGCTCTCTGGTTGGAAAGGCTAAGGGCTACTTGAAACAACATTACTATTTTTATTGGGAAGGGGCTGAAGGTATTTTTGGGGGCATAATATTCCCACCAGATACTGCTCAAACAAAGCCTCCTCATTGCAATATAAAAGGGTTGGTATCACTGTACTCTGGTACATTATATATTGAGGGAAAATTAGGAAAACTTGGATTTTAACGTATAAGCTTATCTATGGTTTGCCTTACTTTCATAGACTCGTCCACTTCCAGGTATCTAAGAACATCTATTTCTGCTATACATATAATTTTTATTGCCTAAACTTTG